TGAAACTCATAAGCGGATCCTAATTCAATTGAGGAAAACTTACCTTGGAGAACTGACGCTCAAGCATAGCAAATCATTGTGGAAATGGTCCTGTGAGTTGTGGTGATCTAACCTGTTTCTTTATCCATGTTTCTTTCTATTAAGGTACCCACAGAGTGAGGTGGGAACAAGAAGTACCGTGCTCTGAGGCTGGAGGCTGGATGTCGGTAACTTCTCATGGGGCTCTGAGTGTAAGTTTGTTTTATTTCACAAAAGGCATCTTACAATGATGATAACTTTGTCCAGTTCTGCTACTGAATGCAAGTGCTGATATCAAAGACATCTGAGAACGATCTGTTTCCTCTGCCTAGCATTTCAAAGTTTTATTTAGTCGTTGTTGTTCGCTAACAAGTGAAAGGGAGCAGTCAATAACTTTTACTAACTGCCCTTTATGTTGTGTACACAGGCTGCACACGTAAGACCAGGATCATTGATGTGGTCTACAATGCCTCCAACAACGAGCTGGTCAGAACCAAGACCCTGGTGAAGATCTGCATCGTGCTCGTGGACTCTCTTCCCTACAGGCAGTGGTACGAGGCCCACTTCGACACTCCTCTGGGACGCAAGAAGGGAGCCAAGCTCGTAAGTGGAAGGAAACACATTTACACTACCCCTTTGTGTAGAGAATCATAACTCATGTGTGTAACTTGAGAATATATCTATTTTGTTACTGCCACACACAGATGCCTTCTCCTGTGCAGAATTGTAATGTTTTAATGCTTGAGCAACATGATGAAACTCATAAGCGGATCCTAATTCAATTGAGGAAAACTTACCTTGGAGAACTGACGCTCAAGCATAGCAAATCATTCTGTGGAAATGGTCCTGTGAGTTGTGGTGATCTAACCTCTGTTTCTTTATCCACGTTTCTTTCTATTAAGGTATCTCAAGGGATAACTGGCATAAACGCCGCAAGACGGGTGGTAAACGCAAGCCCTACCACAAGAAAAGGAAGTATGAGCTTGGACGCCCTCCAGCAAACACAAAAGTAAGTAAACAGTGATCACTTGCTTTCATGCCAGTGTTGAAGTGTGGGTGATGAAAAAGAGACCTTAGGTTTGTCATTTTTGAGCCGTTTTGGATCAAAGTTCTTGACTTACCAATGCCCGGACATGTCATAGTTACTCTGACACGCTTCAACACATCAGAATACAATCTTAACTCATGGATAACCTGAATCCTAGGAAACCACAAAACTAACATTTGTCTTTTTTTATTGTTTTTCTTAGATTGGACCCCGTCGCATCCACACAGTGAGGGTGCGTGGAGGGAACAAGAAGTACCGTGCTCTGAGGCTGGATGTCGGTAACTTCTCATGGGGCTCTGAGTGTAAGTTTGTTTTATTTCACAAAAGGCATCTTACAATGATGATAACTTTGTCCAGTTCTGCTACTGAATGCAAGTGCTGATATCAAAGACATCTGAGAACGATCTGTTTCCTCTGCCTAGCATTTCAACGTTTTTTTTTAGTCGTTGTTACAACAGGTCCAAAGGAAGCAGTAATTAGCTTTTACTAACTGCTCTTTATGTTGTGTTCACAGGCTGCACACGTAAGACCAGGATCATTGATATGGTCTACAATGCCTCCAACAACGAGCTGGTCAGAACCAAGACCCTGGTGAAGAACTGCATCGTGCTCGTGGACTCTCTTCCCTACAGGCAGTGGTACGAGGCCCACTTCGCCACTCCTCTGGGACGCAAGAAGGGAGCCAAGCTCGTAAGTGGAAGGAAACACATTTACACTACCCCTTTGTGTAGAGAATCATAACTCATGCACTGACTTCAGTTATTACCTTGTGTGTAACTTGGGCCAGAGAATGCATCTATTTGGTTAAAGCCACACAAAGATACCTCTAGTAATTCCAGATTGTGATACTCTCGGGGGTGCACGTCTTTCAATGAAGATAACTTTGTCCAGTTCTGCTACTGAATGAAAGTGATGATAATGTGACTCTGAGAAAGACCTGTTACCTGCACCCCCTACTCTGTAATTTTCTAAAGTCCTAAACACTTCAGTATCATGAGTTAGTTTTCTGTCTTTATTTATTTGAATGCTTATTTAACAGTTCCTGTAAGCACCCTTTCAATTAATATGAGCAGGGACTCATAAGCGCTTCAGATGCCCCTGTAATGATTACATAGAGTAGTACATTTTTATGCATGTTAGAATCATCTTTCAGAAATGCATCGCAATTCTGTTAATATCCTGCTAATGGGCTTTCTTTCCATTGTTAAGACTCCTGAGGAAGAGGATGTCCTGAACAAGAAGACCCAGAAGAAGTACGATGAGCGCAAAAAGACGGCCAAGATCAGCCCCCTCTTGGAGGAGCAGTTCCAGCAGGGAAAACTGCTTGGTGAGTCTGAACATCTGTAGTCTACTGTAGTGATGGTCCTTAAATCATTACATGGACGCATCACTGGCTAATTTCCAACCCTGCCACCAAGATCTCAAGAAAACTAAATAGTAGAAAATGTCCCTTTCGCCTCTATACAGTTCTGTCTGTGCTGGTGCACGTCTCTCAATGAAGATAACTTTGTCCAGTTCTGCTACTGAATGAAAGTGATGATAATGTGACTCTGAGAAAGACCCGTTACCTGCACTGATATCACTTATCACCTAGTCTGGGTGCTGAAGTTACAGATCTTACATTTTCATGGGCGCTTGGCAACAAATCCTTAATTTCTCTTATTTAAATAAAACGTTATAGTATGATAACGAGTCAAAGTATTAATGCCACAGAGCTTGGATCCCTATAAAATAGACAGGTGTTGGACAGGTTTTGATAGCGTTTGTTCCCCTCAGCTGACATGTTGTCTCTCCTCCTGCAGCTTGCATTGCATCCAGACCCGGCCAGTGCGGCAGGTGTGACGGCTACATCCTGGAAGGCAAGGAGCTGGAGTTCTACCTGAGGAAGATCAAGGCCAAGAAAGGCAAATAGATGTTCAGCTGTTTGATACCTCAATAAAATCCAAAAGCCCCACAACTGTCTTGTTACTGTGTCCACAATTTGAGTTTAAAAAATATATATGTTTTGCTTTTCCTGCCTAGAAAGCAATATGTAACTATTACAACAGATGCATAGTTCTGAACAGAAACAAACTGCACTAACTTCAAATGAATTCTAACCATCAATGTTTTCATGTATTATATAAAGCTATTTTTGCTCTCTACATGAATGAACTATTAAAAGGCACATAACATCATTGTTTAGTTAGGTATAAGGACATTTGCAGCTACATTCAGAATTTGCCCTACTGCGGTGTTAGCATGGTCAAAATAAGCGTCATATATATACAGGGTTGGGAGGGTTACTTTGTAAATGTAATCAGTTACTGATTACAGAATACATGGCTCTGAAAGTAATCCGAATACAGTTACAGTTACGTGTCTTAAAAAAGTAATGTAATCAGATTACTTTCTTTTTCCATCACAGATGGATGTTTTGGTGAACAGGAGACACAAAAAGCAAAAGGACACTGAATGTGTTTTTACTGTTTTAATGGCTTATCAAGAGTGAACTGAAACATAACATCTGAAACGATGTAACAACATAATTAACTTTTTGGGGATGCAGCTTGGGATGTGAGGAGTGAGGGACACGGCTTAGAACGGGCGTGTCGCCTTCTGTCCTGCCAGTGTTGGCAGGACATGAATTAAAATGTCAAACTCGGACTTCATTTTAAGGACATTACGGCCAGGGGTGTAGAGCTATATTTGTTTAAGCACCGGATTGGCAAAACAGGAGAGTGTGTGCACCAGTCTGCCTTGATCTATGCATTCATGTCCGTGACTCTCACAGTATCTGCTGCCCGCAGCTGTTTTATAGAAGGAAAACCTCCTTCACTTCATGAAATCTCTGCAGCACCAGGAGGCAGCGGGAGGGTTAACTCAGCCTCTGAGAAGAGGAGCGCGCAGTGCCTTTCACGCACCGCCTTCACTGTGTTTACCTTCAGGAATAATCATTAGTAAGGCTAAAGAAAGAGCGACCGCAGGCTGATGTGTTTTAACCACACACACGCGATTTAAACGCAGACTTTTGTTCCTCCATGTTTCGCTGTTATTGTTTCACTGAGCGGACCAGCGATTTTTTTTCAAACGCTTTTTTGGTCCATCTGCGGCGGTAATAGGTTTTGTGGGCTTTGATGATTCGGCTGTACCTTTAGTAATGAATATTACATGTTGTGAGGAAATCTTTCCACTAATAATTCCAACAAGTAATCCAAAATGTATTCACTTCAGGTTTACGAAAGTAACTGTAATCAGATTACTCGTTTTTCAAATGTAACGCGAGCTGAATACAGTTACTTAATTTTTGTATTCTGATTACGTAACGCCGTTACATGTATTCCGTTACAACCCAACCCTGTATATATATGTGACTGTTGGGTAATGACTTCATGATATTATGTGCTCTACACTAGTGAAATGCCAAGACAAATCAATGGAAAAGTATTTATCTGGGTGGGAGTCCCACTGTTTGTTGGGATGTGGCTTGGGTAGAGGGTTGCTAGTCCCCAACATGTTTGGTTATATAGCCCCTTTCAACATAAGAAAGAAATGGGCTGAATCGAAACTTAATAGTAGCACTATCAAAAACAGTATGAATCAATCAAAACTTGATGTGTTTTTTTTGTACTTTTGTATTTATAAGTCTACCTCTGATGTCAATTTTAGTATACAAAAAAAATATATGATCATATATGTTCTTGAATAAGTAAAGGGGAAAATAAAGTCAACGACAACATACGTAATTATCTCCCCTGGATACTACTCCTAATACCGGGGTGGGTTACATCACGCAGTCTTAGTTTTACTGTGTCCATGTGTAACAATAAAAAGCGTGAAAGAACAAATACAAGCTGTCATTACCACAATGTTACCAAACATTTTCCATACCTATGGGTGTAAAAGTTGAAAGTTAGGTAAGGAACTGGGGGAAAAGTCATTTTCCGGTAAAGACACGTGACTAATCCCGCGGCTGTGATTGGTTGTCATATATGTGGGACAAAGGTTGTGGTGTTCAGTCTGAGTCTAGTTATACGTGCAGTCGGTGCTATCAAGACACATAACAATGCTGCTCAACAAGGTACGTGTCTTTAAATTAGCTTGAATTCAGCAGCATATTTTAAAAGTTTTAGTTATGTTCATTTGATGCACACAGCTTGCTGTCTTATTGTCCTAATGTTTAAATCAGAGGAAAGTTAAACGACGTCAACGGCTAACGTTAGCTAACAGCGTCAACAGTTCTAATACATTTTAAAACAGACGTTACAAAACAACGTCATTGTCAAAACAATGACCATAAGATAACGCTAAACATAATGAGCAAAGTCTTTCTGCACAAATGATGAGCTAGCTGGTCATCTTTGAAACACAGCGAAGGTCGTTGAACAAAACTCAAGTAATGGATATCAGTATCCGATTCTTTCAGACAGTTCTTTAACATACAAGGACTTTTCTTTTTAATATTAGTACATGATTAAAACATTATACATTGACCACATTTAAAAAGGATATAGTCAAGGGATATGGTACTTTCCATCAAATGTTACGTATGTGTCCTACAATCAAACTAAACATTCTGGCATGTAAACCTACATTTCTTACAGCAATATAGCCAGAAACATTGTGATCTGGGCTGTTGTGTTGTAATGAAAACAAGGGCATATGTTGGTCATTTCCTCATGGCTTGATGTGAAAAACAATTGGGCAATGAGCGTATCGGTTTTTATTGTGCTGCATATTTATAAAAGTGTTGGACCCAATACGTTAGAAAAGTCTTTAATGATTCTATGTATGCCTTCACTTCAGAACTAAATTAATTTCAGTGATCTCTATCAAACTTTGTGAGGTGAATACTTTCAAGTAGCTTAGTTAGCTCTGAATCAGAATTCCTTTATTTGTCCCACAGCGGGGGGGGGGGGGGGGGTACATTACAACAGCAGAAATATAGTGCAGATAAAGTGAATAAATGAAAAGTAACTAAGTATGCACACTTTATTATTAATTTAAAAAACAACACATAGCAGATAAGTAAACCATGGTAAAAAAAAAGTAGTAGAGTATATCATTTTTTTTTAAAAGAGACTATATAACATTCATAAGGTAGCTTGTACTCTTTGCCAATGGTAAATACATAGAGAGGAAAATGCTAATATGCGACTAAATTCTTCATGAAAACGTTAGAGGTGTGGAGGTGGAGTTTGTTGCTGATTTCCCCTCCTTTCCATCCACAGTTTCTCAAAGCCAGCGTGCGGTCGGGGATCCGGCTGCAGAACTCCGCTGCTGCTGCCAGTGCTGCTGCATCTAACAACACATCCCTCGGCTTCTCATTTGGTGAGAAGGAAGTAGAATAGATGATTAAAACCTGTCACGCTATCATTCATGACCAGTTTTTGATTTTGTGTGTTGCTGCTTTGACCCACAGAGCTGTCTGAGCAACAGAAAGAGTTCCAACAGGTGGCGAGGAAGTTTGCTCGTGAAGAGATCGTCCCTGCTGCAGCGGAGTATGACAGGAGTGGTGAAGTGAGTATAATACATGCAAATAATAGATTATAATCTTATTCAATGTTGTTGTTTGTTTACGGTTCAGATTGTTTGTCGGTTTATGGAGTTTATTGGCTAAGGAAGAACCCCTTATCTTATGCCATTTCTACACTGTAGCTTATGTGCATTAAAATCTTTAAATATTTGCACCGATCCTTATCATGTGGCGAATACATCGATTTGCGTTTGCCTTGTTAGAGGTCTATTATTTATCCTTCAAAGATTTGTTTTGTGCTGGTGCAACGTGAATGTCCCCTGAGAGTGGTGATCATGTTATTTTCTAAAAAGATTGGATAACTCTTCAATGTCCTGTTTTGCAGTATCCTGTGCCCATCATCAAGAAAGCATGGGAACTCGGTTTAATTAACGGCCACATTCCACAGGAGTATGGTATGTTATTTATTTTCACAACATTATCCTGTGTGGTAGGCCACGTATACCCTGGCACATCTTGTCTCAGATTAATTTAGTCTGAAGGTGATGGCCTGAATACCCACACACAAATAAAGAATAGCGTCTCAGTTTAAGTATGTTTAAATGGTTGCTAATTGAAAATGAATTGAAGGTTTATTAATGCCTGTGTAAAAACACCTTGACACACCTTACTATGTGTGTCCCTTTGTAATCAGGTGGAATGGGCTTGACCATCTTTGACAACTGCCTCATCACAGAGGAGTTGGCTTATGGCTGCACAGGCATACAGACCGCTATCGAAGCAAACTCTCTGGGAGTAAGTAGTCGTTTTTCCTGTTTATTTGAAATCAAATCACAAAAATATAGTCCACTACGATGGTCATTTTTCAAAACTGATTTGCAAATCCAACGTTTAATCATCTGTTTCTCTCTCACAGCAAATGCCTGTTATTCTAGCCGGCAATGAAGCGCAGAAGAGTAAATACCTGGGTAGGATGATGGAGGAGCCTCTCATGTGTGTAAGTATGAGAAATAACACCGGCGTAGTCAGGCTTGTTGATGTTGATGGCACACATATTCAAAAAATAGTCTGTTTATGTGTAAATAATTCTTCATCCAAGGATGTAAATGACAGAACAAATGAATAGCCACTGCCCTATGTAAATCATTCACTGTGTTATTTGTATTAATGCAAAGATCACAAATAACACAACGTGAAAACAGGTATAGCTCTTTCCTGCCTCAGATCTGACGGGGTTAACTGACTGCTGGGTGTTTTCTGCAGGCGTACTGTGTGACGGAGCCCGGCGCCGGCTCTGATGTGGCCAGCCTCAAGACCCGTGCTACGAAGGTGGGAGACGAGTACGTTGTTAACGGGCAGAAGATGTGGATCACCAATGGCGGGAAAGCAAACTGGTATGTACTGTTTGTGTGTGTGTGTGTGTGTGTGTGTGTGTGTGTGTGTGTGTGTGTGGTGTGTGTGTGTGTGTGTGTGTGTGTGTGTGTGTGTGTGTGTGTGTGTGTGTGTGTGTGTGTGTGTGTGTGTGTGTGTGTGTGTGTGTGTGTGTGTGTGTGTGTGTGTGTGTGTGTGTGTGTGTGTGTGTGTGTGTGTGTGTGTGTGTGTGTGTGTGTGTGTGTGTGTGTGTGTGTGTGGGGCAGGCACAGATACAACCATTTTTTTAATTGACTGACATTCCTAGTTTGTGTTGCAACGAAGTCTGAACATGATAACTTTGGTTAAAGGAAGCTTTATTGAAGGACTTTGTATTAGACTGCTTTAGTTTAAGCTAGGTGTACCTAATAACCTGTCAACTGATATGCATATGTACGTATATCCATAAAACTCATAAATACACATACACATGTTGCTCTAAGTTTTTTTTTTTTTTACTTCTCTACGTCTCTTATCCTCCTAGGTACTTCCTCCTGGCCCGGTCTAACCCAGATCCTAAATGTCCTACCAGCAAGGCTTTCACTGGCTTCATTGTGGAGGCTGACACTCCTGGAATTATAGTAGGACGGAAGGTAAGATGAGGCTCAATTGTTCTAGGAATGTCGTTTTATCCATAGCTAAATGTAGTAATGGTACTTTGCAACATTGCATGTGTGCTCCAAAAGCTGTGATAGTACATTTTAGGAAGTAGCAGAATATACACCGATGCCATTTTTACAATTTACCTGGGAAAAGTCACCTCTCCCCAAGACGCCAAAGGAATTATTTTGAATGTTATTGTTTAAAATCCCCTAAATGTGTATAATTCACCTGTACATTTAACGTTCTTTCTAGAGACAGAATCTTGCTAAATGTCCCTCTGCTTTGAGACTTATTATTTGTCTCCTTGTGAGCTCCTTATGAACTCCAGACTAATGTTGTGTATTTGTATAAAATAACATTAGATTTGAATTGATAGGAAAACATCTGCTATCCAGTCAGAGTGGTCCCATCCTCCCGGTGTTTCTCACTGTGATATGCACACCACAAGATAACGGGGCTTTCGTCTGTTTTGTGCTTGTAGGAGATAAACATGGGCCAGAGGTGCTCCGATACCAGAGGCATCACTTTTGAGGATGTGAGGATACCGAAGGAGAACGTCCTGATCGGAGAGGGGTCCGGATTCAAAATTGCCATGGGGGCCTTCGACAACACAAGGCCACCGGTAAGTCTCCTAACTGTAACTGAACTTGACATTTGTAGCACCATGTATAAATGTCTCTTTTTACATCTCATATCTGATATGATATTGCTACATGCAAACAATTGGATACCAAACGGTTCGTGCTAATGTTTATTTATCACTGAAGACATGTATCTGTGATGCTAATGTAACTATTGCTTTGCAGGTGGCAGCAGGAGCCACAGGTCTGGCACAGAGGGCGCTTGATGAAGCAACCAACTACGCAATGGAGAGGAAGACCTTCGGAAAAGTTATTGCTGAGGTTGGTTCTCTTCATTTCATTCATCAGCAGAAAACCACACGTTCCATCACAGGCTTATAACGCTGATACATCCCATTTGTAGTTCAATGGATTACAGAATTTACTGAAGAGTGCTGAAAGAATAAATAAATACATCTTGCTCCTGTCATTGAATTCCAGGAGACTAGATTGCATATGAAAAACAGCAGGGATTAACTTTGATAAACGAAGCATAGCGCCATCTCCTGGAGTGTCTTGTTTGTACCGTTTCTTGGGATCAATGTTATTGAAATTCACAGAAAGTTATACTGTACTAATATATTTAAGCTAAAAAATCAAATAGCTTTTTTAATTTCATTTTTACTAGTTTTGAATCTGATCATTTCGTTTCAGTTGAAATGATTTTCTTATAGGGTATCATTTTTTATTACATTTTTCGCTGCTTGTTTTAGCTTTCGTTTCAGGTATAGTGTTAAAAGGTGAGTAGAGGACTAACAGGCCCCTCTGTCTCCTCCTGTCCAACAGCACCAGGCCGTGTCCTTCATCCTGGCTGAGATGGCCATGAAGGTGGAGTTGGCCCGGATGGCGTACCAGCGCTCGGCCTGGGAAGTGGACCAGGGCCGCAGGAACACGTACTACGCCTCCATCGCCAAGGCATTCGCCGGAGACATCGCCAACCAGGTGGCCTCTGACGCCGTGCAGGTGTTCGGAGGAAACGGCTTCAACAGCGAATACCCCGTGGAGAAGCTGATGAGAGACGCCAAGATCTACCAGGTGGGTGCTGATGTTTCAGGGATTGCACCAGAGTTCCCGTTAGCCGGTAATTACCGGACTACGACCGGTCAAATATGCTGAAGACCGGCAAATCTAAATCTCTCCGGTCAAAGTGTCCGTTCAAAAATAATTTCCGTTTAGCGCAATAACGCATCAGTTGCGCAATTAGCGCCACTTATGTGACAGACAAGAAGAGTATGTGACAGACAAGAAGAGTATGTGACAGACAAGAAGAGTATGTGACAGACAAGAAGAGTATGTGACAGACAAGAAGAGTATGTGACAGACAAGAAGAGTATGTGACAGACAAGAAGAGTATGTGACAGACAAGAAGAGTATGTGACAGACAAGAAGAGTATGTGACAGACAAGAATAGTCAATTCTAATGTCTAACACTTAATGTGGAGAAATAGATGTCCTGGATGGGTTGATTGTGCGTTGATCTGTTGGTAATGCATAATGCTGCGCTATACTTTGTGGCCTCACCCGGTTGCATAGCGACACTTATTGTTTAGGTGTCTTTTAATAAGCAGGTAGCTATCATTAGCTAGAACTAGCTGGATCTGATCGATATGGACATAAACGCGAGTCTAATCTGACGGGAGAGAGAGAGATCAGCTGCTGCTGACGAGTCGACACGCAGCTCTGCATGATCACATGCAGCGGTGAGCGGACAAAACACACTCTTCAGGTTAGAATATCACACGTAGCTATTTTAATTACCTCTCAATCTACCTAAACTAGTTATAGATATGTTTAGTTTTACTGTCGGGTCACTCACTGATCCGCGAGCTGCATGATACTGACGGGCTGTCAGGAGAGGGAGAGCGCTTCGTTTATTATTCCCGTGTTATTGTAAGTTACTGTTCACTTTTGAATAATGTAGTTAATCTACTATAATTAGTTTAATATTGAATCATATCAATTTGTTTTAAAGCACAATAAATAACAAAGAAGTTCTTTGACCGGCACTTTTCTCATTTTGTCCGGAAGATTTAAACTTTAACGGACATGTTGACCGGCGAAAAAATATTCTAACGGGAACTCTGGATTGCACCTAAGGACATCTAGAAAAGAAGACTATTCATTGTAAATTAGGGATGGGTACCGTTAAGGTTTTAACGGTACTACTACTTTTATCGATCCGGTCCTTTAACGGTACTCTTATGGCAGACAGGTATGCTGCCAAAGGCCTAACGGTTCTTCTGGAGGAAGATTCAGGATACATACCTGACGTGGAAACGTTACTCGTGGATGGGGCTACAGAGCTACTAGAGAGACAGTCGAACCCGGTGCATTCCTCCGTCTGAATGTCTGAATGTCTTTTGCAAGATGTTTAGACAAATTGCTTGTGTTACCGCCCTTACATGCTAAACTCTTATTGCACGAGAGAGATCTCTCGTCTGGATTGGAAAGATCGAAAATAATCATGGAAACATTTTGTAGTCTTATTGCGTATTAGAAATGGAGTTGGCGAAACTAAAACTGCAATATAATGTTTGTAGCAATAATACATATGACATATATGTTTTACATGTCTCCAGTACCGATAACGTCGGAGCTTAACGGTACCACGGTCTTTAATAATTCAGCCCCGGGGCCACTTTAATACGGGGCTCGGTACCCATCCCTATTGTAAATGTAGTTGATACTGCAAGAGGTGCAGAAGTGTAACAACAAACTTGTTTTAATGACCTCTGGTAAAGCCTCCATTCAAAATAACTATTGTTCACACACTCAACTTTGGAATGGGTTAAATTGTATTTTGGGTCGTTTATAAAACATTTCAAGCCCTGGATGTTGTGCACCTATTTGCTAATGGCTGAGGTCGTTAGAATAACTTTTCTAAATGTTATTTTATTTCCTTTGCAGATCTACGAGGGCACAGCTCAAATCCAGAGGATGATTATTGCCCGAGAACTCCTGGGAAAATACAAGAAGTGAACTCTTCACACCTAACGTCCCTTATTCAGATGTACTAATGTTGTGTTCCTCGGAATAGATCTGCTTATTTATACTCACAAAATGTTGTTTGCCTTATCAGCACTTAATCCGGGCCGAGCTTTGTTCACATTGATCCAGACTTTGCATCAGCCGTCCACTTTTCTAATCAGAAAACATCAGAACCCTTCAACACCTGTACTAGTTTGTTTTTGAAATGCATAGAACTGTTGCCTTACTTTGAGACTGGATGGGTTTGGGATCACCACATTCACGCAATACATCACACGACTGTCCTGTCAGGCTCCAAGCTCTGTAAATAATGTGAACCAGGAACAAATACAACACGAACAGATGAAGCATAATGAACTATGACAATGGTAGCCTTCTGATCCTTCTTGGAAGAAGCCAAGAATGTAATGCTCAAATGATAATGAATATTGTTTGAAAATAAACATCTAACGTTTCAGAATGTACTATTTTAGCGTTATATGATATGCTTGTATTTAATCATGCCATGCCTTTTACTTGTGTGGACGCCAAGAAGATTAGCGGTCTCAGAGGCATCATCTCTTAAAATCAATAAACTATAGTCTTGACACAAAGCTGTAGAGTTGTTTACGCCAGCAGCGACGCACTGACGTCATAGGACCGTGACGTCAGCTATGCGATGGAAGAACGATGACGTCATAGGGATCTACTTGCTTCTACTATTAGAACATTTGTGTTCAGTGAGACACTTTTGAAGATAGACACTGCAGTCGGTCGGTAAAATCCTCCAGAGAGACAATAATTAATTAATTTGATTCCATATTCAAAACTTAGACAAATAACCCGTGATAGCCATGGTGTTCCTTTGTCTTGGTTATGTTGTGGGCACTGTCACAAAGGGAGTGAAGGATGTTCTGGACCCTCGTCCTCCCACAGTCACCCCGTTCAACCAGCAAATACCTGAGCATCATGAATTAAGAAGAGGAGAAAGCTCAGGAGAGGCGTTGGAGGAGGTTGCTCCAGTTTCCCGGACTTGCTGTTGTCACAGACACAACAACTGGCCTTTCACACAAGTCTGGAGAAATGCTCCCATTAGCACTTTCCTCCCTTGTGTCCAGGGTGGTCAGGGAACACAACAGGTTCATCACAGTGAGGCTGTCAGGTTGCTCAGGCTTCATTGGATGCCTCAGCCCCCTCAGACCCCAAATGGAGGTGGACTTCCTCTACTTGAACAGCTGAGAGCTCACATCACATACATGATTGGAAATAGATATGTGATAGGAGGAGTTACTCTTTTAGGGATTGCAGTCATTATTCCTTTTGCTCGAAGAAGAATTTCTGGTAGTTTTACGCCGTTGGTAGGATCTACAACTGTATACAGAATAGTAGGTGTTAGTCCTAATGTTTTTTCATCTATTTATTCCGTGGCATATAGATGGATAGTCGCTGCTGCGCCCAAGGTACTGAAAGGATTTTCATCTATATGTTCAGGCGCAAGGCGAAGGATAGTTGCCGTTGGCCCCGAGCTGATGGGAGCTGCTTCAGTAACATTTTCAGTGGCCAAATCCGGGATTGCAGTCGCTCTTTCCTTGATGCAATTTGTTGGCCTGTGCATTAACCACACATTAGTCTTAGTTATTGGGGCAGCACTGCTGATTGTTTCCTTCATCATGTACTCGCTCGTTTTTATAAGTCCAGACGTTTTCAACTTCTTAGTGCTCTGTGGACTGTTCTACATGAGAAGGCCTGCTGGATACCGTGTAGGCATAATGTTGCAAACCCTCAGACATCCAGAGGATCCAAACATTACCATCAGAAGGGATGTGTTCTTTCTTTATTACAATGAGCAGGCTCCACGATTTAACCAGCAAAGAAACGCCTTTTGGGTGTAGATCCTGCTGCAGTGTGGCCCTATGATACGGGGGGGAGGTTCAGGTAAAGCACGGTTAATGTATTTTATTATTGACTCAATAATATAATGACTTTGAGAGTAGGCAATCTAGGCATATTAACAATTATTGAAATTAATGAAACATACTTATCACGACGGCGGTGTACTTAGATTATTATTACATTTCCATTTTTTGTTGCAAGGGGGCCCTTAGTGGCCCATTATGTCGCTTAATGGGTCGGGCCGGCTCTGCAAACAACATTGAATCTGGACGGATACTTTTTTAAGGAAATCGTTTTTATTTGTTATTATAATTACTGTGAAATGTATTGTGTTTTCGTCATTATTACAACAAATACACACTTGCAACTGATAACACTGGCAATGATTTTATATTTATTAGACTATTCAAAAAAATCATGCTTCAAAGAAAGTGGGGGAACGGCGATCCCCGGTGTCCAACGACCACTGCTGCCATCCAAAAAGGAGAACGTGATTTTGCGATGGAATCAGAGGACAGTGACACTGCTATGAGGGAAGAAGAGGCAGAAGAAGATGCCTGTGGACAAGTGGACAAAGACAACCAACAACAATCCATCCCTCATATCAGGGGCGGACTGGGGGGAAAAAGTGGCCCGGGGATTAATTGACAGACAGGCCCACTTAATGCGCGGCATGTATCGGCCGGCCGGCGACGAAAGTATGTTACTTAACAAAAAACCCTATGCATTTTATGTTATTTTGGACCATTATTCATATAGTCATCACATTACCTGAGCCCTTGAGTTGCCTAAGCAAAATAGTTACAGCATATATTTAGTGATTTTAATGTTAACAGATCATTGATGCAATAACATTTGGACCCAATTTGCCTGACTTGACGCATGGAATAAAACATGGGGGTAGGAAGCATCCTCAATGTGGGTGAGACAATTTGACAGGGGGTGTGGGCAGGTGGTGGACCTCACCTCCTCTAGGGGGGTCCGGGGGCAAGCTCCCCCGGGAAGATTTGTTTTAAAATGTTGAAGTTAAATGCATCAATCTGGTGCATTTGGAGAGCAAAATTAGGGACTAAAGCTATGGATACATCTCTCAACACCAATATGAAACAGAACTGTAAACAGATTTACTTTTTCTTTCAACATTTATTTGAACAGCAAGTGGAGGCAAAAGTGACTGCACCCAGAACAATAAACCTGCTCGCTAACTAGCCTAAACTCAGTAACAGAATGTGGGTTCTGAATGAACGTTCTTCTCCACAGCCGTGCGACCTCTGAGTCAGACGTCACTTCCCCCTTTTCTATCCTACGGGTGCAGCCACTCCACCTGAACCCCTCTCTGTACAGAGAGTGAGGTGTTCCTTGAGACACACATCATATTTTCCCAGCAAAACAATCATCTCTAAAAAGTTACCATGATCAATGGTGTCATCATCTTGTGTATATAATGCCTCCGCCTGCGTGCCCCTGTAGCTCAAACCACTTTGACCAATGAGCTTCAACACATCTATGATGCGCTCCAACACTTGACGCTTCCTGCGGACTTCCTCTCTGTGACGTGACATCTGAGGTCCCATGAGAAGGTCCTGAATTGTGTTTTTTGAGAATCTGAGGAAATATGCCTCAGCGCAACCTCTGTGAGCATGGCTCTGATCATGCTCCTCGACTCTCTGATGTATGTGTGTGAAGTTGGTCATGCCAGTGATGAAGGAGTTGCTATCTCTAGGATTAGCAAAAGCCATACAAAGGGAGCAGAAGAGTACTTCTCTGGCTTCACTGTATGATAGCCATTTCCTGTTTGTGCCGTCTTTGCAAAAAAAAGCCCTCTGCACTACAGCCTTGTCTGCCTTCTGCTGGGGGTGAAAACGGAAGAATATGTCTAATGTGCCTGACATCGGCCTGGTGAAATAATCAACTGGGGTGGCACTGACATCCTGGCCTTGACTAACTCTGTCAGTGTCAGCAGCAGGATCATCTTCAGCCTACATAAATGATTAGTATTGATTAGTATGTTACGTTATTATGTTACCACCATGTTATTATTATGTATGTAAACCAAGTAAAGTCTTAAAGACAGTAACAGGCTAATTTCCACCAGACAGTAACTTTAGTTGCAGGTTGACAAATAATGGACCCTTTATTATTTGTAGTATTAATAAGGTAACCTAACGTCTAAGCTAATCAAACAAAAGACAGTATAAGCAATCATCGTAGTCTCATTGATTCACCAGCCCAAGTCAAGTGGCTATAATGTTCAAATAGATTACCGTTGTCAATGAGTGAAGCAAATCTACCAGCAGCTTGCATATTTCACCAGAATTTGGTCAGTGAATGTTGTTAATTTTACCCTGTCCCTGTGAACACACAATGTACTGTAGGCAATAGGCTAGCTAGCTAATGCATTAGCTGTCCCTGTGAACACACAATGTACTGTAGGCAATAGCCTAGCTAGCTAGAAATAGGCTAGCTAGCTAATATTACCTCATCTGCTACATTAAAAAGCAAGCTAGCATTAGCCAAATGAGGATTTTCACTTTCAGCATCAATCATAACATTAACTTACCATCATATCACTGCTGGTACTGGGCTCTAGATGCCGCTGTGCTGTGTCAGTTTCATTGCTGGACTCACTGCCACTGGGAATGGCCGCTGTGTCGGCTAACGTTACATCAGCTTCTCCGGTGGTGGTTGTACTACAACTACAACCAGCTGCAGGACCAAACGAAAAGTCTGTAATTTATTTTTATTTTGCTGAACCTTCCTCAAGTGCTTTCATTTTTTTATCCCTAAGTTTTTGTGCACCTCCTTTACGCTTTGGAGCTTGTTTATCCATCAGTAACTCACTCCTGATCTTTCACTGCGCAGTGACAGCAGCTACGGGCCTGATGGGGAGTGGCCGGCCCGGAACGCTTACAAATGTGGGCACTTACAAATGTGGGCCGGTAGGATTTAGTTAAGCAAAAAAAAAAAGGGAGTGGCCGGTATACTCACAAATATGGGCCGGTAGGATTTAGGCAAAAAAAAAAAATTTAAAATTTAAAAAAAAAAAAAAAAAAATGTATTTATTGTTTTGGCCCTCCGGCCCATGCACAGCACAGGCCCACCGGGGAAACTCCCGGTATTCCCGATGGCCAGTCCGCCCCTGCCTCATATACTTATGTTTATATAATAACTTGCTTTATATTTTGTTTTTGTCATTGTTAATGTGTAAAGTCAACATGTATATTTTCTACTTTCTTGTTTATTACTAGTATTTTTTCATCGTTATTGTGTAATGGCAATTTCCTGTTGTCCTATATATGTTTGCCATTACTTCACAGAAGGGCTGAAGAGTGATCCAGACGCAGACACATACAGATGACTTTCCGGTCCTTTGTTGCAGTTTATAATGAGGTTTATTCAGGGTTTACATACCAGGGTTTAATTGTACAGTTTTAGTTGTTGTGATGAGCATCTGCCGGGCTGGTGGAATCGGTATGCTCTCTTCCTTCTGTGTCCTCCCCTCTCCTGTCACCTATGACCTCTTTATATACACCCGGTGCAGCTAAACCCCGCCACCAAGTGTTCAAAAATAATATTGCACTATACATATAAC